GTGTTGATATATGTGAAAACGGTAAAATACTTAGGAGTGAGTATGAGCGAAAGAATGGTGGGGTTGCTAAAATTTGGCTTTATCAATGGTTGCAGCGGAAAGTAAGTTATTTTTTAATTAATAAAAGTTGAATTGTCTTTAAATATTTGATAAATAATCGAAATGAGAAAGAAAAAATTTTGAGAATAAGAAAATTTGTATTATTTACTTATTTGTTATACTGTTCTATAAAAAATAAATAAATTATATTTCAAGAAATAAGGAATTTTGTTAAAAATAATAATGAAGGAAATTAAAAAAAATTAAAAATAATTGTTTATTAAAAATCCTTTACCTGATTTTAAATTTAAAATATGCTTTCGCTCCCTGATTAGACAAAATCCTCTTAGAATGCACTTCACCAAGTACGCTTTGAATAGGAAATCTAAAATCTATGTCCCTTTAAATACTTTGTTAGGAATTCGTCACACTACTAGCCGTCTTCAGGTTCGGTCAAAAGTACACATTAGAAAAAGATATACGTATTTTTACGTCACAAGCTACCGCGTGAAAAATCTATCTCATTCTAATAAAGTTCTATGAAATTGATCTGCAAATTTACATCACATAATATGCCCCTCTGTATCAAATTTGTAAATACATTCAACGTTGGTTGATTTTGCGAGATATATAACGATATATTCCGTATTATGTTTGTACTTTTCATTAAAACTTTATAAATTATTAAAGATTTATATTAAATAACTAATAAATAAGTTTTGTTGTTATTATAATATTGATAGGCAAAGTAGTTGATAGAAAAATTTCGAACAATATTTTGATTAATAAGCGTAATTTTTAACTAATGAATTATAGAATTCATGTTATTTATCATAACTAATATACTGCATAGTTATAATAAAATTGTTAAAAATTTAACGTAAATTTGAATCTGTAATATAATTACATTTTAATATTAATAATAATTCAATAGTTGAAAATTTAGTTAGTTAAAAATTTATGAATGTTTAATACAACACAAATTATTTATACATAGAATTATATATTAATGATTTTAAAATTTTAATTTATACTATATATTGAAAAATATATTTCTGATATACAATAGAATGATTTCAGTTAATTATTTCACATTTCGATATTGAAAGTTTGATAACACTCTAATGGATCTCAAAAATGATGTTGGCGTATTCACTAGTTCTTTAACACACCGTTGTTTAAACGCAGAATGCGCTAAAAAGCCAGTGATTTTTTAGTATGTTGATAT